GAACTCTTGATAAGGTTCTTCTAAATGGCATAATGAAGGAATGAATTCACCAGCAGGATGTCTGATCAGATGTTGTGACATCAAGCAGAAACTTCAGTTTGCAACAGCTGTGAGAAGAAGTAGATGTTACAAGTCCAAGTCTTGGTGTATCTAAGATGCCTTGCTATGAAGCAAGTAGGACATGTAACTTGAAGATCAAGTTTGCTTGGCGGATCATAAGACTGTCTAGAGCTCTGAAAGATGCTGAGTAACCAAACAGTGGCATTTGGTTATTTAAGCAGTATGCTTTTAAAAGATTACTCTTGTGCAGAAGGGTAGTTGTTTGAAGACTAAAGAAGGTTCTGATTCTATTCATATTTTGGAACTTGTGGTAGAAGCCCTAATTTGTGTATGGAAGATTACCTTCCTTTGGAGATATATTTGATCAAGCTGGTAGAGCTGTGCTCTTTGAAGATCCTCAGATTGGATTACTGTTCAGATAGTAAGTCCAAGTGGTTAATGTATGATATAATGTCCTAACTAATGTCAAAACATCACTTTGTTTGCTGGACTTGAAGATCTGCTGTGGAACTTGTGATTCACATCTTGACTAAGAACTACTCTATCTTGTCATACGGGAGAATGATGAGGTAAAAGGAATGACTTGGAGTATGATGTGAAGGGATTGTACAAGACTGGAGTGGATCATTTATTGATTGCATGAAAGTCTGGATTCTGATGAGAAGATTCACCAGTTAAATCAGAAGCTTTCTAACTTATCATATGGGAGAATGGTGAGGAAATAATGTCTTGGATTATGGGGTGTTTATCTAGTTCTCTGACTCAGGCCAGAAGTCTTGTGAAGAAGTGGAGCAGTTTGGTACCTTCTTACTGTATGAGCATGAGGTTAGTCTTAAGATATAATGTGGTGATCTTGGAGTAACTTTTATCAAAGATAGGGGAGAGCTTGTGTTTGATGGGTGTAGTATGGGCTTGTGGTGCAAGCAGTAAGTGAATGCGTTCAGCAGGTGTGTTGAATAGAGAGTGAGCTCTTGAAGACATGAAGATGAGTCTTATGTTTTCCATTCACGTGCTTCTAAATGAGCACTGGTTATCCTTGATATGGGGAGTTGTACTTCTATCTAGGATTTGTTGCTGCAAGAGTGCAGTTATGTATCAAGATTATTTGTGGTTTCAAACAGTTTGGGATTTTATGAAGGAGGAATGTCAGACAAGATGTTGTGACATTATGTTACTGCTCTAGCTCATGGTGAACATGACAAGTGTATTACTTTTGGTTCTGTGTCAATGGATCAAATCAGATTTGCATAAGCTTTATTGAGAGTAATATAAAGATGAAGATTAAGACATCATCAGCTCTGATTTTATGCATATGGAAGTCAAGGAAACATGGCATTTGACATCTTGGAGATATTCCTAGTTGAATCTGAGTGAACTTGCAGATAGTTTTGTCTACCTCTTTTATTATAGTATGGGCTGTAAAACAAGGGATGTAAAGTTGCATTGTGTGATGAAGTGATGTGTTTGGGTTCTCTCTTTTAGGGGGAGTACTGATTATGCATGACAGAGGGAGTTGTGTACCAGTCTGATGTGTAGCTGCACTGCTTGTGTTGACATTGTGCTAATATGGAGCTGTGTACAAAGGTTGTTGAATCTCAAGCAAGCTTGTGTTCTTGAACCACTAATGAGAATATTTGTGTGTCTCAAATTGGGGATTTAAAATCAATTGTTACTGTGGCAAGTAGTTAATTGATTATCCTTTAATTGGTGATGTCAAAAGTGTCATTCTTGAAGGGGCAGCTTCAGACAAGGCAAGAACTCAAGATTCAATGGTCATGGGGTAAATCCATGCTGAAATATGATGTGAAGGATGTATTTTCAAGGAGCTATGGTATCTAGATCTATACAAATCAGGATTGAGTTTACAGTGTTTGATGGTGCAGTTTTCAAGCAGCTTGTGTATCTCTTGGGAGATTATGAGATGACTAGATGGTTGGACACCATGTGCAGTTTTCCAACTAAGTCTTGCTTTGAAGCATGATTGTCTCTGATTCAGTTTTTGGGTTGGCTCTGTTTGATGTGTGCATCTGAGTTTATGTGTACATTTACTCCAATTTTTGACTAAACCAAGGGGGAGTAAAGTGTTGTTATCTGCTGCTACTGCCAAGGAAAGAGTTGCATCTTGTAGTTGCTTGCTGAATGCAACTATCAAGGGGGAGCATGATAGTTTGTGCAGCTGGATTGTTTTGACAAGTCTGTTTAGTTGTTTCAGCCAAAATTTGCCAAAGGGGGAGATTGTTAGTTCCATGATTCTATGATTGTCCATGGTTCTATGATTGGCTAAATTTTGGTAAAACATGGTCCTGCACTGATGTTAAGCAGGATGTTATAACATCTCCATCTGTTGTGGTGACAGAACTGCTATGGTGTGTTTTAATGTGAATGTCATGTTGAATGTCGTGACATCCATCTGCTGTGGTGACAGAACTACTGTCATGTGGTTTAATCAGGATGTCATTACCAATGTCATGACATCGCTGTCTGGTACAGCAGGAATTGGTGATAGAACTGCTGTCATGTGTTTTAAACAGGATGTCATTACTAATGTCATGACATCTCTGTCTGGTGCAACAGGAGCGGATGACAGTACTGCTATCATGTGTTTTAAACAGGATGTCATTACCAATGTCATGACATCGTTGTCTGGTGCAGCAGGAGCTGATGACAGAACTGCTGTCATGGATGTCATACTGAATGTCATGACATCACTGTCTGGTACAGCAGGTGCTGCTGTTTTATATCACTTGATAGAAATGCTTTGGATATACCTCATCAGTATGTGCAGGCCAAAGAGATTCATTAGGAACAAAGGGCATATTTAATTGGTGTTCATAAAAAGGATCTTTGAGACTTTTTAGAAAACTATAATATGCTTGTTTCTACTGTTGTGAAAAAGATTCTGCAGGAGTGTTCAGCAGGGGGAGTTTGGTCAGCTAAGAACAAAGTGTGTTGGATGTCATGCTGGATGTTATATGACATCTAGCGTATGACGTCAGGGGTACGTGTTTAGGTTTACTGTTATATTGCAAGAGGAAACTCAGGCTATACTTAAAGAAACCTGTTATGACTCCTTAGTTATCTCAGGCGAGATTCTAGTCAGGGCTGGGCATAACATGAAGCAGCTGTGACCTAATTTGACAGCATACTTTGTTAAACCTAATGTTTGTTACTTGTGACCAGCCCAAGCCCAGTCTGCATTTCTATTTAAGGAGGAGCAGAAGCAAGGGAAATCAAGCACTCACAACAAGAAAAACTTGAGTGTAGAATTAAGGTCTAGGGTTTTGAGAGTCCATTGTGTGCAACCTTGTAAGTCACCTTTTGTATCTTTGGATGCATAAGGGTAGACATGTTTAGGCTGTTATTAGTACAGTGCTAATTGTTCACTCAAAGCTTTTAAGCAAGAGTGTACTTGTGAGTGAAGAGGTTTGCTCTTCACGTGTGTTTAGGAGTCTTAGGATTCCTTGTGTGTCAAGCAATTGTATGTTGTATATTGCTTTGGTTATTGTGTATGAACAGGTGTGTTCATTGTGTCACTCAAAGCTATTAAGCAAGAGTATGTGTCACTTGATCAAAGCTGTGAAGCAAGATCAAGATGTGTTTGAAGAGTGTCTTCATATTGTAATTGTGAATTGATTATCACTGCGGTGATTGAGGGGGAGTGAGAGGGAAACTATGGTCTAGTGGTCTCTAGGCTGAAGTGACATTGGATAGGTCTTAAGTGAAGAGTGCAAACGGGTTGTTTGACTCTGAATTAATTCTACTAATAGTGAATTTCCTCCCTGGCTTGGTTGCCCCCAGATGTAGGTGAGGTTGCACCGAATTGGGTAAGCAATTCATTGTGTTATTTATCTTCCTGCATTTACAATTCTGCATAATTTAAATGATTAGATAAATAGTTTGTTTGTCTGCTGATGTTACAACAGACGCCATGACATTGGTCATGACATTGGTATAATTTAAAGTAATTTAAATTGGTCATGGTCTATCCTCGTCCTTATTGAGCAGAGATCAATGTTCTTGGGACATATGAGATCTGCATACCAGAAATTCAAGAGTGAAGGTAGTTTCTGGAGTGTTGTCGTCAACGTATAGGCTAGCCATGATCAACGAAGGTTGTAAACTACTTTGGTTTTTGGGTTTCTATAAGAGAAAGAACGAGAAAGCAAGAGTTCCCACAGACACTACCACTGATCTTACCGGATCAGAAAAGGATCAATAGCCAGCACACGTCGTGAGCTCATTCGTTCACCGGTGGTAGAGAAGAGGATGGGGTGTACCAGCAAGGTACTCCGATGCCAAAGTAAGTTTCAGCAAGAGAGAAAGCAAGTACATACAGAATACCTAACTCTCTAGTGAAAGAGGGTATTTATGATGTGCCCCTAGTGCAGGGCCAACAGTTACTTTGCATTGGGTTGGATTGCAAGGCCCGATATGATTAACTGTCAGGGCTTACGTGTTGTAAGGAAGACCAGCACGTGGTATTCACCCTGGATCAACTGCCTCGTGATCTTCGGAAGGTGGGTAATTGCCTGATAATGTGTCCCCGCGTGGGGGCACGTGGAGTTCGTGGGGGAGACGTATGAGAGCTCCCCGGGCATGCAGGTGGGTTGAACCTCAATTGGGCCTTCCTCAACGAGGACTTGGGTTGGGTCGTGCCTGACGGTGGGCCAACCTTAGGCCCAGTCCAGAACAACACCTTTGACCATTCTACCAAACTTGTGACATTCATCCACAACCCTCATGAAATCAGTTCTGACAATGTCCCAGAAATATTTGATGAATCCAAAATTCACTCTGTCTGGACCCGATATTTTAGTACTATCGTATTCCCATATTGCTCTACAAACTTCATCTTCTGAAAATTCAACAATCAAAGTGTTGTTCTCTGAATCGATCAGTTTTTTGAACTCTATGTTAGCCAGTAAAATCCTAGAACCTCTTCACCCCTCAAACTTTTTACGGAAGTGATCAGCAATTCCTTCTTTTATCTCATTTGCTTTCTTTGACATTCTCCCATTTAACTCTAACTCAACAATATCATTCACTTTCCTCCTTTTATTGATACATCCATGAAGAAATTTAGTATTAGCTTCTCCTTCTTTCAACCACCTGTTAAAGGATCTTTGGCATTGTATGTTACCATTGAGGTTCATGAGCTTATGAAGGTTTGCAGTTAGTTCTTTCTTGGGGTCCATCTCTACTGGATTTAGCTTCATAGATTCTTCTTTGATCTTAATTATGTTGAGTTCTTCTTTTGTTTCTTTAATCATCCCTTCTAAATTTTGAGTGTGCCATCTGTGCCACTCTTTTAGTTTGTTCTTTATCATATTCAGCTTTTCTTTTAAAAACAAACATCTCCAACCCTCCACTTTGAAATTCAACCATTGCTCTCTAACAAAGTTGTGATACCCATCAATATTTTTCCAGCAATCTAACATTTGAAACAATTTCGGACCCCGCTTTTTCATATCATCGGCGAGCAAAATGGGGAAGTGGTCGAATAACCCCTTCTCTAGAGCCCATCGTGAACTGGCTGGCCACCTTCTAAGCCACTCTTCTGAAATCAAGAATTTGTCCAGTCGACTCATTGTTGAATTCCCGAGCCTAGACAAAGTGAATTTCCTACCATGAAGTGGCAAGTCAATTTAATCCAGGTCTGAGATAAATCCTTCAAAATCATCTATTTCATCACTTTAGTAGCATACTGACCCTCATAAATATAAACTCCTCGTTTATGAAAAGTTGAATTGTAGATCAGGGGCAAGAAATCCTTATTTTAGACTGTTGTGAATAGAATGCCTTGAAACAAAATATGAACGGTTTCTTTATATTCAAGAAACACACAAGGGTTAGGGTTAACAAAGTAAACAAGCAAGAAGAACAAGAAGAAACAACAAGGATTGGTTATAAACTTCTATTCTTTCATTTCTCTATCAAACAAGATTACAAGTATACAAAAATAACAAATAACCTCTCTCGCTTGAATTAGGATTTTATCTTCCTATTTTTCCTTATGTAAGATGAGAGACTAGCATGCTATTTATAAGAAAATTAACATACTAACCTAATGGGATTTTTAACAATTACCTATTACAAGCTAACTTAGGGCTCAAGCTAACTTAAACAATTGGGCTTACAAGCAAGACCAAATTCAACATGTTAACAAACCTAGCAATATTGACTAATGCATGTTAGAACAAACTTCGACTACAACACGCATTACTCGCGAACAAACTTCGACCATTCTTGAGTTCGATCCAATATCTCATAAATCTCCACCTTAGATCTAACTCTATAACATCAAGAAACTAGCTTTCTTCATGCAGCTTTATCAATTGCATACAATGGAAAAACTTGCAACTGGGCAACGTCTTGGTGATCATATCAGCAGCATAATGATCTGTCGAAACCTTCAGCACTTGGACTTCTCCATGCTCGATTACCCCTCTGACGAAATGCATCCTTACATCAATGTGCTTGGTTCTCTCATGATAAGCTAAATTTTTTGACAGGTGTATTGCACTTTGACTATCACATTTAACAGTGATAACTCGACCTTAAAGTTTTAGCTCTTTTGCAAAACCTTCAAGCCACAATGCTTCCTTCACAACTTCAGTTAGGGCATTATATTCCGCTTCAGTGGTAGATAAGGCAACAACCTTCTGAAGTGCTACTTTCCAATTAATTGTTGTCCCAAACATAGTGAACACATATCCAAAAATAGATTTTCTAGAATCCATACAACCTGCATAATCAGAGTCGACATATCCTTCAATTGTTGCTTTACTATCTTCACCCAAGGCTCCACCATAAATTAAGACTCTATTCAGAGACCCATTTATGTACCTTAGAATCCACTTAAATGCTTGCCAGTGAGCCTTTCCAGGATTCGCCATGTACCTGCTTACAATACTTACTGCATATGTTATGTCGGGTCTAGTACATACCATAACATACATCAAGGAACCCACTATATTATTCATATAAGTTCTTTCGACATCAGTGTTGGGAAAAATGATCTATGCTTAGCTTAAATTGAGGGTTTGTCGGAGTCACAACAGGCTTTGAATTCGACATACCATACTTTTCGAGAATCTTCCGTAGGTATTGTTGTACCCCAAAATTTGCTCAACCTTTTCTTGCCTGATTTATGTTTCATTGCATTTCATTTGCATAGTTACATCATGTACATAGTTCAATCATTGGTATATCATAGCATAGCATGCATCCAACAAGGGATCAGGGTGTCTATCAAGATAAGAGCCTAGCAAGAGGTCTTATCCAAGTGTGAAAGTCATCCAAGCCATCAAGAAGGGATTTGAAGTCTTGAGAAGCTTGAGTGCCTATATGTGGGTTTTGCTCCTATCTTGAGGAATGTTGAGAATCATCAGTGGGATGAGAAGCATGGATTATGAACTTGAGGTGTATGGATCTCATGGGGTGCCTAGAGGGACATATTGAAGTTGAGGCAAGTCATTGATTCAAGTATGAGAGCCACAGTTGAGGTGCAGTCAACTAGGGTTTCATCTAGGTCAACCCTAATTCAATTGAGTAGTTGGAGAGCACCAAAGCCTACCTTGAGGTCATGGGATTCATGAATTGTTATGTTGATACATGTGTGGTGTTGTTCCAAGGTTAAGCAAAGATAGCTCAAGAATGTGGGAAGTTGCTAAATTAGGGTTTCAGTGTAAAATTCCATGTTTAGTGCCTAACTTCAAAGCCACATAAATCAAAATAAAAGTTTCAAATGGATCTTTGGCCAACATGATACTTGTATAGCTTCTCAATACCTTTAATTTGAGTACTAGAAGTCTTCAATAAGATTTGTAGAACTCAAGTTATGGTCTTTGCAAATTACAGGTCATCAGAGGACACTGAAATTTATCTGTGAAAGTCACTTGACTTCCAAGCAACTTTTGTCATTCAAGGAGTTTTAAAATGGATTCTTGGCCAACATTAGAGTTTCAGATCTTGATCTTAGCTTTCCATAGAGTACTAGAAGTCCTCAAGGGGATTTATAGAACTCAAGTTATGATCTTGGCAATCCAGGGGTATTTTGGGTATTGATGATTATAGATCATTCTCAAGCATGGGTCCAAATCTCCAACTTAGGGGCCTCAAATGGAAAATTGTTCAACTAGAAAGTTGCTCAAAATAGGGTTTTAACCTTGACCATGCATCAAGTAGGCTTTGAATTGGCTCATAGGAGAAGTTGGTTTGAAATGGTTTTTAAATGAAGAAATTAAAGTCATTTAAAAGGCAAAAATGGGATTTCTTGATTTTATGGCCAAACCAAGCAATGTTATATACCAAATTGATCAGAAAATGTGTTTTAAATATAATGACATTACCACATTTTGGATTTGAAGTCATTTGCACATGGTTCCCTTTTGTTACTTAAGATGGAAGTAACATAACCATCACACTCCATAAGATAAAAAAACAAGGAGAATGCACATCCAATTCAGTTCTAAATGTCATAAGGTGAGAATTTCAGGTGAAACTGGAAGCTGAAACAGAGCAAGGCATGATTTCCACATATGAGATTTTCAAGGGATATGAGAAATTCAAAATCTCATTATGGTTGTTACAGAAGTTTCTAGAGAGTTCTAACAACTTCTATATAACATTTGCAACTGATTCAGATCAATTTTTGGGAGGAGTTGAGCAAGGAACCAGAGCAAGCCATTGAAAATTCTCAAGCTGCATCAAGAATCGGGTTTTGGAATTGAAGAGGATTCAAAGCAAATTGTCCATTGGAGAAGCTTTAGAAGTGGTTCTTGAGTGATTCTACAAAAGATTGGAGGTTGAATCGTGCCATAACCTCATTTGTTCATCACATTAAACCAAGTTTGTAACTTTCATTTTTTGCTCCAATTGGTAGTGAATTGATCAGCATTTGATGTATGGAGAGGTTAGTGATGGTGCTTAGATGGATTTAGGCACAAAAATTGAGCCATTCGTGACACTTTAGGTGGTGATCAGAATTTTGTTGAAAGGAATAACTCATGATTCTTGAGGCTTTAAGCATGGTTAGATAGTTAGAATTCTTCCCTGAAGCATGTAGATGAGTTTAGGATCTTTAATTGCAAGAATTGAGTTGATCAAGATTTGGTGATTTTTCTGCAACTTCTATCGGGTTTTGAGTTAGGGTGAGAATCAATGGAAATGGAGGTCATATTCATGATCAGGATGAAATTTGGAGTGGATTAGGGTATTTAGTTGGCTTGATTGATGAGTTTTTGGGATTGCCACGCCGGAGAAGACGGTGGCGCAAAGCTCAGGCCACCGTCTGAACTTTCCCTCCCAGGTTTGAATGTTTTGGGGACGATGAACTAAAACCCTAGGATCTTAGTTTGACCCTTGACTGAAGCTTAATCCAATGGCCACGATTACAAGTTGAGTTCTGAAGGGATTGAATTTTATCAAAACGCCTCGTTTCATTAAAGCTGAGCTGGATGGGCTTAGTGACTCCTTGCTCTTCACACCCCACCTTGGGCCCAATTGGGGATAATAACGTGAATGGATTGCTATTTGCCACGAGAGTTTTCCAATTTTCCTTTTTATTTTCTCTGATTTTCTTATGTGGTTTGGGCTTAAGGTTCATGTGCTACACGCACCCCCATTCTGGGCCCAGCCTGGATTATAACATGGAATATTTGCTATTTGGCACGCAGGTTTCTTAATTTTCATTGTTTTTTCTTTTAATTTTACATTTTGCATATAGTTAGGAATAAATCCATAATAATTAGGAAAATTAGTCTTTTTGATCTAGGTTTTTTTTCCCTTGACTCCTTAGAATGTGTAGAATTTAATAGGATTAAAATTTCTTTAATTCATGCATTTTATATTTTATTTACATTTTTTGTATTTTTAATGGTTTTTTTATTTTGATATGTTTGGTATGCCATTTTGCTGATTTTATTGTGATTGATTGGTGATGATTTTTGAGGTGATTCCTTTTGGGCTAGTTAGCTTAGATATGCATGTCCCAATAGTAATTTTCTCATATTTTTGTGATATAAATTTAGGCTAGTTTGAACTTTGAACAATAGGTGGTGTAGAATTAGGGTTTTAGGATGATACCCTTAGGTTTAGGGCATAGTTTTAAGTCCAAATGACTGATTTACCCCCGGTTTTTTGTATGGAGTGATTCACAAGAGGTTTAGGAACCCTTAGTAATTTTTGTAGGATTTTACAATCATGTTTGATATTTTAAGTAGAATTAGTTTTAGGACTAACTTCTAGGTGTTTCTGATGAACTAATTTGACTAGTTTAATTCAATAGTTCCCCTTAGACTAGGGTGGTGGTGCTTTTGAGCTTGGATGATCATGAAGACCAATTGAAGGTGCTTTGGAGAGCTTATAGGAGCTTGTAGATGAAGCTTTGACCTCTTGTGGATTGCTTGTCAGGAGCTTAGGAAAACTAGGGTTTCAGGAAGAGCATTAGACTAGTTTTGTTTCTTTCTTCAAACATGGAGTATATTGTTCATCTACATTCAATCCAATGACATAAATTCCTTTTAAAGAAGTCACATCTCTCCTTAGGAGGGATGAATGGCATGCTTTAAGAGTAGAACTTTGAGGA